TTTTTTTTTTTTTTTTCAGCACGTTTGCAGCATGCAGCTCTGTGGCTTGCTCTGGGAAGAGGAAGAAAGGGGGCAGAGGAGCTGGGGGGATTAGAGACCGCCAGCAAACACGATCTCAGGGGTTTCTGCATGATGTTCCCCAAACCACAAAATTTTCTTGGAAAACAACTTGAAAAAGAGCGGTTAAAAATGGGTCACACAGTCCATTCAATTAGCATGCAGTGACTTCTCTTGCACTGTAATTCCAATTTTTACCTGCCATGGAGTAAGGCACAAAGGATGAACAGGTTTGTACGGGACACAAATTTGAGCTCATTCTGCAGCAGTGCTGCTCTGCACACATTAATGCACAGTGGCTCAGCCAAGGCCAGATGAGTGCAGAGTTTGGTCCATTGGTCAGCAAACCCTCGCAGGATGCCAGGAGGTTTTTCCTTGGGAGAGTTTGTTGCACAAATATTTTCAAAGCCAACGTACTCCTCTTGAAGAGGGAATCAAAGCTGTATGTCACCAAGTCAGGCCTCATTCCAGTCATCGGTCACTGTCTGTCATTTCAGTTTGCTCAGTCAACCCAGCTGTGCCAGGCAGCAGCATCCAGAATTGAGGCCATCGATTTGGGAGCCACCATATAAAGAGACTCAAATACAAATTATTCATACACCAGCCTCAAAAATACCAAACCACCCTCCCTCAGGTTCTTCTCCCAGGAGAAAAATACTATTTAATCCTGCATTGGTTGACTAGTTCAAGTATCATTTTCAAATTATTCCCCTCCATCCTTGGGTCCTGGGGATCTTTCAGACTAAATCTCGAGGAGGCAGTTGCTACTGGACTTTCTCTGGGCACAGCAGCCACTGACGTGCCCTGCAGCACAGTGTCAGTGCCCTGGGCTCTGAAGAAGCCAGAAGCAAGTCCTCCAGCAGCGAGCTCTAAACACCCCCTTGGCAATTTGTCCAGATGTTGCTGAGCCCTGATGCTTCTCAGCATTACAGGTGGTGGTTTGGGTGGAGCCAGAGGGTCCAATGTGAGCCTATCATGAATGCACACAGGGGAAAAAGCAATACAAAGGTGGTCTTTCACATGAGTGACCATAGGGGAATGAGGGGAGGAGGAAACAGGAGACCAAGGGCAGTCCTGAGCTTTACATCTGGAAGCACTTATGGTGCTGGATTCTCGAGGGAGCAAGATGGGGTGAGCGGTGTCACAGTTCCTTCCCTCCAGAAGATGGTTGATGAAGCCACAACTTAGCTCTAGGCACTAAAAAAACCCACAACAATGCAGGAAAAAATGACAACTATTCCTTGAAGGCTGAGCTGTGCATGATGGAGGAACTCCCTGGGGAGACCTTCCCGCAACCCTGGCCTTTAACCTCTGCAGCTGGGGAGGAATCTCTTCAGCCAGTGAGCTTGGTCAGAGCAATTGCATCCTCACCACCAGCCTGCCCCTGGACAGAAGACTTCATTGCTAGTCTGCCTCCTTGCTAGTTCCTTCAGCAAAACCCATGCTCAGCTGGACCCTGCGTCAGGGGCTCACCCGGACTTTGAGTCTCATGAACACCTTGTTTCCATTTCTATTCTTTACCTCATTCAGGAGAGAAAAAAACAAATCAACACACGGCATGGACCTCCCAGTTTTGCTGTAAGCGATATCGCCCTCCCTTCCTGCCCCCTTCTCAGATGGGTGAGAGTCAGAGTCCGGACTCTGGCAGATGGAGGATGTTTCTGTTCATGGTT